GGAGAGGAGAGTGGCCACGTAATATGGATCTCCCAGGGCTTTCACCTTTAAACTTTAAAATCAATTCCACAGGGCCGGCAAGACGGAGCTGTTCCACCAGGCTTTTGGCTGAGGCAGCGGACGTCCCTATATGGCCTCCCTGAGGTGGTTGTCACCCACCTACCAACCCAAATAATATGCCAGGGGACCTCCCACAACCAGCTGACTTGTCAGAATTGTGACTGTGTTTTAATGTCTATTATTGTCTAAACTGTTTAATTTTTAATTGCATTTATTGTATTTTTTTATGATGTTACCCACCCTGAGACCACTTCCGGGATGGGCGGGCTAAAAATACAAATATTAAATTAATTAAATAAATAAATCTGTAGCCAATCTGGGAAGAGGCAGTGGAGCTATGCACCACCTTCAAAATGACAGCACTCCAGCCCTTCAGCCCATGGCAGAGGGCTTTAAAAAGATTTTTCTTCTCCCACCTGAGCTGTGCTATAGTTTTGGCTCAGCTGGAAATGGGAAGGGAACACGAATTAGCGCTGTCCTTCTTTGAACAAGATCACGGTCACGGCAGTGAAGTAAATAGTGGTCCTGTAAGCCATTTTTCAATAGCCCACTACTAGCAATGAGCCACCAGCTATGGCCCGGTTTCAGTTTTGGGGGACCCTCAGTACAAGGTCCCTTTGCTGGCCTCATGAGGTGACCCTCCTCCTTTCCCTGCAGCACACAGAGGAGGGTGTAGGGTTGCCAACCCCGGATCTGGAAATCCCTGGAGATTTGGGGGTGACGTCTGGAAAAGGATGGGTCAGAGGAGGAGAGGGACCTCAGCAGAACCCTCCCTCCAAAGCAGCCACTTTCTCCAGGGGAACTAATCTCCGTAGTCTAGAGATCAGTTGTAATTCTGGGAAATCTCCAACCCCCACCTGGAGGCTGGCAATGCTAGGCAGGTGACAAGTCTGCCCAAACAGGGCAAACTACAGCTTGCCCGTCCACCCAAACAGGTAGGTATGTGAGCGAATGAGAGGCAATGCCAGCTGGGAAACAGAAACCATAGCGGAAGCTGCCACCACCCACAGGGAGAGGGCAGGAAAAGGAGCAGAGGACATTGCTCATGACCGTCATCACCACTCAGTTCCCTTATTCAGCCCTCTGGGCAGCCTACCGACTCAGGATGGCAAGGGCCACAAGCTGCCACCCTCCCTCCGTCTGCCCACTGGCAGTTAAGTTGGCGCCACTGCCACAGACCTGAGGAGGAGAGTCCTAAATCTTCCTGGAGTGGCTTAATTATTGACACAGAAGGGGTAGGACTGACACGGTCCCTTGCTATGAAGCAGCAAGTCAGGGGTCAGCAGTGTGTCGTCCCCCCCCCCCCCGGAGCCTCGGCAGCTGTTGGAGGTTGCCAGCCCTGGGTGGCTTGAAAAAGAACTATAGATGAAGTAAATTAAAAAATAAAATGTGAAATAATTATAAGAAATTACCACTATGGATATCACCCTTAGAAGCTTTTACTCTACCCTCTCTAATAATTGGTAGAAAGAAAGAGGTATATGGGAATCTATTAACAAAAGAGTTGGAACTAAAATCAGAAGAATTGTTAGCAAAACAGAAAATTGTATTGTCATGGTGGGATAAGAATATAATATCAACAAGATATAACTTAGACAAAAAAATAGGTTTTTACAGTGGCCAAACAAAGCTAGATAAAATCTGGCTCTCAACAAGTGATAAATTGATTCAAAAAATGTATAAAAAGTTCCTGGAAGACTTTAGTTCGGAAGAGGAGACTAAAAAACCCAAACTAAGGTGGGAGAAGGAACTGGGCCATAAAATAGACGAGAATAGCTGGCTCAAGGTGTGGAAATCGATCAAATTGTCAAGAGCAGTACCTTTCAAAGAAAATATATACAAGATGTACTACAGGTGGCATTGGACGCCAAATAAAATCGCAAAATGCTTTCCTGGTGCCACAAACAGATGTTGGAGATGTAGGAAAAATGTAGGGACATTCATGCATATTTGGTGGAAATGTGATAAGGTTCAGAGTTTTTGGAAAAAACTGCAGAAAATATTAACTAAAACACTAAAAATCAAGATACCATTACAACCAGAGATATTTCTTTTGAATATGATCCCAGATGCAATTAAAAAACATAAACAGATAATTATATATATATATTAATCACGGCAAGAATTTTGATTGCAAAAAGGTGGAAATCAAATAATTTACCCTCAATAAAAGAATTAAAATATAAGATTCTGGAAGTAGCGGAAATGGGTAGAGTAAATATGGAAGAAAAGTACTGGGAAAAATGGGGAGCAATATATAACTGGTTGAAGATAAAGAAGCTAGAAACTAATGGGAGTTAGGCTAGCAATATCAGGGAATAGTTTAAGATAACAACGTAAGAGCACTGTTTAAGGTAAAATTAAAACACAGATGTTTAGAGAAGTTTACCTTGTTTGATATTATTATGCTGTTGGAGATTGTTATTGAGATGTATGTTTTGTTTATTGTTATTATGTTGTTGGAGATTGTTAAGCGCTATAAAAATATTGTATAGAAAATCCAATAAATACATTTATTTTTTAAAAATAAAATGTATGCATCAGGGGAGGAACATAGGCACAAAAGGACATGAAAGCCACAACCAACTTTGTGGTGATACCGACCGGCACCAAAACCAGAAGAAGACGCCGTTGGTTCTGATGCTCTGAAATCTACTCCCAGAAATGACCGGAAGGGTGACCCATTTTGATATAAGTGCTTGTGCAATCCTCTCTGTCTTGGCAAGAAAACGATACACACACACACAGGTCTCTCAGCAAAAAAAACAATACACACCTTGGCTGGGACACAAGTGTGTGGAGCAAACATAAGAGCCTCATTGGGGGATATCAATCAATCACAGACTTTAAACCCAGAGAGATGGAGAGAGGTATCCTGCTAGGATACTCTCCTAATAGCCACTGACATGACAACAGTAACCATGGAAACTCGCTTCCTCCATCCTCATGGCGGCGGCTCTGATCTCCTCTTCAGGTTCAGAGAGAAAGCTAAGGAAGAAGTGCACATCGTTTCTGAAGTCAAGAGATATTTCTGCACACTTTGATGTCTGGCTTCACTTGTGCACACTAACGAAATGATGAGCTTGGTCATTCCCCTTGAGCTCTTTCAGGTACCCCGTTCGAGCTAACTATTTTTATGTAGAGCAAACCTGTAATACCTCTGATAGGATATGGATTGAATTTTAATATTCAACAGCCGAGCAAAAAAAACAAACAAACCCAAAACTCTTGGGGGGGAGAACCAACAATCTGGAGTCAAGTTGGGTGGCCCCTATAGCCTAACAATTAGATCCGATACACTGAGACCCTTTTAACAGCACAGGGCACTCAAAAATAGAGTGTTCTATTCATTGCCATTCATTCTCATTCTCTGGTCAAAATCTGATGTCATCCATTGCTTCCAAAGTGTTAAACTGGCACTCTGTGTTTTCAAGCTGAGTGTCTAATCCATCTGCCTTCCCTTTTAGGGGATCATAGTGTGGGAAGACCCTGACCTGGATGGCCCACACTAGCCCAATTTCAGAAGCTAAGCAGGGTCAGCCATGGTTAGCACTTCGTTGGCAGACCACCAAGGAAGTCCAGGGTTGTTACATACAGGCAGGCAGTGGCAAACCACCTCTGTTCATCTCTTGCCTTGAATAACCTGCAGGGTTGCAATAAGCTGGCTGAATTGATGGCGCTTTCCACCACCAGGGTGGGGAGGCTTGGTTTCAAGAAGCAAACTTGGGAGATTAAATGGTGTCTGTGTTCCCCTTGTGGCCAAACTCTCATGAACTGACAAAACCTGTTAAGCATTCGGGAACTGGCACACCTAGCTTGCTGTAGTGCTTCTAAAGGGGCCTAGGAAAGGGAAGAAGAATATCATATCCTCTGGTTCCTGGGTAGCAGGCAGATGGTGGGCAGCTGGCTTGCAAGCAGGGAGTGGGACATCACCAGTGCCCAAGTACTGTCAGCCTTGGTGCAATCAAACTGGAATTTCTTTTGGCAATTTAGTCACAGTACATACGCACTTGGACTCATCAGAAACTGGGGGGGGGGCCCTGGAACCACAAGCGTCTGCAAACACGTGCCATTTCCAAACATTAACGTTTTGGAATCTTCCAAGTTAAGGCAGACAGAGTGGAATGTGCAGCAGAAAGAATCCACTGAGCCTCAGCAAAATGGAACTGGGGGGAGGAGGGACGACAATCTGCCCATCCTAAAACCACCCATGTTCAGAAGCTACAGTACATACCTTAGTTACTAAATTTCACCACTGTAATATGAGTCGGTGTAAGATACTGGTCAGAAATGGTGCTTGCTTCTAGCTAGGGTTCCCAGACTCAAATCAAACCCCCTACCCCTGGTGCTGATCGGCTGGCTGGCCCTAGGCCTCTGTTGCCAGTAATGTCACTCCTGGAAGTGATGTCATCAAATTTCTGGCCACATGTGGACACTCTGGTATTTGGGCACAAACTATGGTAAAAAAGGCTTCTACCATCCCCATGGCACCAGCGACATGATGACATCACCAGCAACACAGGCCTAGTCCTCAGTCTGCTGCTGGTAAGTCCCCCATTCACACGCTGCTGGTTGCCAGAGGGCACCCTACTTTCAGCCCATTGTTAAACCATGCCTCTACATAATTCAGATTGGAAATAATTGACATTTGGACAGTGTTTCTTTTTGTTCTGCCACAACTTAGATCAGAACAGAAAATGCCACAATGCAACTCTGCGGATGGATGAAAGAAATTGAATGCTGTTTCAAGCCACCATTGTATTATTTCAGATTAGCGAGGCTGTTTCTATTCCTTCTTTCCTTTACCTCACCCAGGCCACAGCCATGAGAAAAATCATGTAACATTCAGTTAAAAAGCCTAAAAACCTTATTTTAACCTGAGGAAATAATGTCCACTGACACAGTTTTCTACAAGAGTATTGTTTGTGGGTTCAACTCACCATTTTCTTGTGATCAAAAATCAGCATCCTGAGCTGTAAGGCATTCATTTTCACAGAAAGAAACCTCAAACCGGATTATTATTAATTACTCTGAATGAAACAAACAGTTGTTGGTATTTTCAGGTAAACCTCATACATATATCAGCTCAAGAAAACATAACCATATGGTTATATTTTCTCGAGCAGATATATCTATGAGGTGTACCTGAAAATAACACAACAAATTTTGATTTTTGATTTTTTAAAATCTTTTGTATATTGCTTTGAAAACCCAAGAGAAAAGCAGCAGATAGATAACATTTTATTAGATATATTAAAACCTGTTTATATGGTTCATTTATTGAGGTACGAATATCCCACTTCTTTCCTCAGTCGGGACATCAAGTACAGGGATTCCCAAACTTTCTGAGCCTGTGAGCAACTTTGGAATTCTGACCCAGAGTGGTGGACACAGCCACAAAATGGCTGCCATGGGAGGTGGAGCCAGCCACAAAATGGCTGCCACAGGAGGTGGAGCCAGCCACAAAATAGTTGCCGCCGCTTACCTTCAGTCACATAGTGAAGTTCCTTGTGCAGTGGTGCAGTGGTGGCAGCCGCTGCCAAAGGGACATTTTCAAAAATCTGTACAGTCAATCAGATCTCCAGTAGCCAAGCAGAAGCTCTGCTGGGCAAAAGCCCCACCTGACCACACCCACTTTCTAAAAACACTTGGCGGGGACCAGGAAAGGTGTTGGTGGGTGGGCACCACGTTTGGAACCCCTGATCTGCTTCCTTCCTAGAGATACCGGGGATAGAACTTGGAACTTTCTGTATGCAAAGCAGATGGTGCCATGGCACCCATTGGCCAGCATGTTGGGGAACCCTGATCTACTACCTTAACTGGAGATACTGGGGATAGAACTTTCTACATGCAGAGCAGATGCTCCTCTCCTGAGCCACCATCCCTTTTCTATGCTTAAGCACTTCACTGGACTGCTGGGAAAAGAGAAAATAGAGGCTGATACAAGGACACAACCCCTTAAGGTCCTGGTAGGAAACGCTGGATAAAAATTTAGATGGATAGGATTTCTGCACAGCAAGAGACTGAGTGAGATAATAAAAATGCTAGTCGCATGCCGTAAACTCCACATTATTTCCAAACGCACTCTGTTCCCTCTCCAGGGAAGGGATGTGAAGAAGCCAACCTCTGTCCCCCTGGCCTTAAAGCTCAGTGAGGAATGACAAATGAGGAAGCCTGAAGGTTGGCAACAAATTGCATCAGATCAGCCCTGAGATTTCGTCTCAGCTCTGACACCAGAATCCAAGATTGCCACAAGCAATTCATTTCCCTGAGGATCTAGGTGTTTTGTGGTGTTTAAAAAAAAAAAAACCCTCCCTGCCGTTCCTTCCAAAAACGGCACAGCTTCGAAATATGAGATCTTTTCCTCCCTCACTGTGGCTGATTTGTATGGAACTCTGGACCAGCAGCAAGTATTTTGAATAAATAAGCAGCGTTGGAATAGCTTTGAACGTAATGAAGTGCAAAGTAAGATGTTTTTATGCACTGACAGCCTAACCGGTACTTCTAGACAAAGAACAATTGGGGTGCCAATCAACGGATTCGCAAGCATGTATTATCAACTTACGGCCTACTGCTTTAAAAAGTCTGACCGCAGCCAAGGGTTTATCTCCTACATTTTTCTCTTGCCCTTTCTCCAAGGACCTCAGGGTGGGTATATGGTTCTCTCTGTTCTGCATTTTATCCTCGAATCAATTCTGCAAAGCAGTTCAGACTGGAAAAGAGCAGCAGGACACCCAACAAGCTTCCACGGCAGAGTGGGGATTCAAAGCAGAGTCTCCAGGATTCTAGTTCAAAACTCTAACCAATACACCACGCTGGCCTGTGTATATTTCATGGCATCTGAAACTGGTTCTCCGTTCCCCATTATATCCTCAAAACGACCCTGTGAGGTAGTGTAGGCACAGAGACAGAGAGAGACTGGCCCAAGGTTACTCAGAGGAGCATCATGCTCAGTGGGGATTTGAACCTAAATCTTCCAGCTCCTTGTCCAACACTCTGGCCACAATACCACACTGGCCTGATTCTATTCATGGCATCTGAAACACGCACATATTCCACAAAAACAAGAACGAGTTGGATCCAGCCAACACATATCCCACAAAACCAGGAACGGGTTGGATCCAGCAAGCCTCTTCACTCAGACTTGCTCAGTTCCCTTTCTTACTACAATCTTGGTCACCACTTGGCTTTTGTCTATGCAGGTCCCATGATGTCCAGCATGGCCTTTTGTGTGGTTAGTGGACCCTTCCCTCCCTTTTTCACCAGTGGAAAAATGGGTAGGATCCAACTCAATGTGTAGGTGGTCAGCTCAGAGTCATCCAATAGTAGGATCAGGTTGGTCCTAGAACTAACCTACACATGGCCCATCTCTTATACAGAAGTCAGCCGCAAGGACACTTCAGTCTGTTTCAATTAAAGAAAAAGTGAACCCACAGGCATTTCATTTCTGATTGATGTGAAACTTCCTGACAATGACAACAGTGGTGTGGCACTGGGCCCCCGCGTGTCCTTCCGTTTTGAGGCAAACAGACCTGGCATTGAGGTTTTGTGTCGACAATTAGCTGATGTCGTGACTGTGAGGGCAACACTGAACTGTGCAGGCATTGATCTCCGGGAAGATTTGTGCTCCTGACCAGCAATACGAGGCCCTCGATGGAGCCTGGTTGGCCACGCACAATCGGATCTCTTGTCTGACAGATGAGGCAGCTCCAGCCACCATAAGCTGCACAAGCGGTGCACAGAAAGTGCCTGTGATCCGGAGGACAGCTCACCACAGCTTTTCACCACATTTCAGTTAAATTAAATCAAGAGTTCCAGACAAAAGAAATACTGAGATCCATTTCTTAATGTATGTATGAGTAATACTGAGTCTGTCGGAATGACTCGTCCCTTCCAAGCAGAGATTAAACAATTACTTTCCCTTATTATAGTGCCAGAGCACGCACTAGACAGTCATGTTGTTTACTGTTCAAGATGATAAAATATTTACGCTTGCCGAATGCAAACTGGATTTACTAGTATATTACAGACATAAAGATGTTCCCATGTTACTCACCCAATTATTTTTATATATCCTGTACTTTTCTTAGGTGCCTTCCGGGGGGGGGGGGGGCGAGTGTTCCTCAAACAACTTACAAAATGGAAGGATATGTTAAGACTAGTTAGCATTACTGCTCTTTGTACTCCTCATGTAGAACGACTGGCAATTAAACTGGTTGGAAAACCACACCTAGCCAGCTCCTTTGGAAGATGGCAGACCTCAAAAAGTTACCTCATGTGGGTACTGAAATTGCCAGGGTATTTCCCCATCATTTAGCCCTGAGATTTTGCACCCCTGTTGCCTAAGCCATACAGATAACTAGAAAAATCTGAAAATGGAACATTTATGTAGCTTTCCTGCAAAAGGGGAGGGGGATTCAATGTGTTACCTCAAAATTAGGAAGAAACTTTCGTGGGGACAAGAGAAAGTAAATTCAGCACAGAAGTAGCCCAAGACTTCCTCATTACTAGAACCATTACTTGAAAGGCAGATTTATGTACATCTCTCCTTAGAAACAAGGAACAAAAGATATGCTCCATAATATGTCCTTCCAGGTCTCTCAGAAAGCCAAACTCGGATATACATGTAGGCTCACGTATGCTGGACTGATAGAAAAGTCTGAAAAGGGAACATTTTATACCTAACAGTCAAAACTTAGAACATACAGTTTATTTCATAAAAAGACCAGAGACCAGTAGAGTAAGAAAGCCAAGCCTCAAAAGGGAATGAAGTTCTGGAGCTAAGCAGGGTCGCCCATGGTCAGTACTTGGATCGGAGGCCACCAAGAAAGTCCAGGGTCATTACCCAGAGGCAGGCAATGGCAAGCCACCGCTATTCAACTCTTGCCTTGAAAATGAGGAGGATCGGCTGTAACTTGACAGCACTTAATTATTATGTGTTTATTACACACACACCCTACTTTTCTCCCACTCAGGAGACTCAAAAGGGCTTACAAAATGTAATTTAAATAACAGACATACAACTCAACATGCCCCTTTATACACCCTTGAAGCAAGCGATAAGTCATAGGTTGCCAACTCCCTAGTTTAGTGTGATGTTCCAACAACGTTTTGGCACAATCTGGACTCCATTCTCCAGGATGAAAGAATGGTTCTGCCTCTTAAATTCTGTTAATCCGTTTATTATTTGCATAACCCCATTAACTAAAATACTCTTTGCTATATGTAATTGATAATAACCATGCAGAACTGATTTTTTTAAACAGTTCAGCCAAATGGAGAGGGAGTTGTAATTAGCATACATCTCTCTCTCTCCGAACTTCTATTAAATTTCTGCTTTGAATACATGACCTTTTCTTTGACAATGTTTGACCCGTGTTTGGGGGGAAAGGTGGCCTATTTAAAATTATCCCCCCAGGGAGGGGGGAAAAGCAGCATTCATTCTGTCTGGTCCTAAATTATATTGGAAGGTTAACTTTCCCCTGGCTATTGTTGTGACTTGCCCCACAGGAGAAATTATACAGCTACAGGAGATGGTACCTGGATACTCCCCCACCCCCGGACAAAACCGCAGCTTCAGTTGAGTAAATCAGGTTGCAAATATGTGGAGGGTGGGGAGAGTTAATCTTTCTCCTGCTATGGTGCCACATTCCCTACCTGAACTGAGGCCCTGCAGAGCTGCTGTCTAAAGGGTGGTTGGTTGGTTTTAAGTGGGGGACCTCTCCATAGCAACATCTATAGATCTTCTGAGGGCTATCACAAACAAGCCAAACTAAGCCAGAACGTGAGGACCCTTGCGCACATGCAAATGTGTGTTAAACCTTGTTGCCATTGTAACACACTTCACCGCCATGAGAGCAGCTCATGGGAATGCATTTCTGTCTACTCAATGGCAAGGGACGAAGAGCACAGATCTGTGTATGGTGGTGTAAAGTGCTGTCAAGTCACAGCTGACTTATGGTCACCCTGTAGGGTTTTCAAGGCAAGA